CAAGGGCCGATTGTCGCAGTTCCCTGTAAATAGAGGGTAAGTTATTCCTCTTCTAATGAGGTCCAGACCAGAAATAGGCTGATATGTATAGACTAAGAAAGGACAACATTCTCTTTCTTTACTTTGTAAAGTTTGCTGTAGGGTGTGTGTGCTCAATGGAGAGAGACAGAGACAGAGAGGGAAAGTAAGAAGTCACTTCCCAGAAGGAATGATCATGCAATAATTCCTTCTCTATTCTCCTCTTGGGGGAATTTGGGCACACATGCACACACATTGCCATGTTTTTCCTTTTTTTTTTGTTTTTGGAGAGGTTTTTGCTATAGGGTGCGTGTGCTTGCCAGACAGAGAGAGACAGAGAGATAGCGAGAAATCACCCCCCCAGGGGGGATGGCCACGCCACAATCCCTTCTCCATTTTCCTCTCGGGATCTTGGGCACGCATGCACATGCGCCCGGCGTGAGTTTAAGCTACCGGGTCTGGGACTCGAACCGCGGTCGACTACGTGGGAGTCCAGCGACATAACCATTACGCTAACTGCTGGTCCCTCTGCCATGTTTTTCAAGCTGCCTGGTCCAGGACTCATCTGTTTGGTTGGCCATGTGAGATCTAGACGCCTTAGCCACCACACTACTGGCTAGCCCCAGGAAGATGTTCTTAATTTGTCGCACTAGTTCCCCATTCCCAGCCCTCTGCTCTAGTCTCCCTTAACACTGTTCTTTCTAGTATAACATGCACCTTGTCATTATGAAAACAAGGAATCTAGTGGCCTTTGTTGTGATTGTAAGAATACTTCTAGAATTTTGTAGGATTTAGATGTGGGTTCCCAATAATTACCATACAGTTTAAGAAAGTTTAATTTATCCCTCAGGTTATTATTTTTTTTTAAGAGAGATTTTAGGGCACATGCACTTGTCAGACAGAAAGTGAAAAATCACACCCTGGAGGGATGGTCATGCTGCAATCCCCTCTCCATTCTCCTCTCAACGTTTTGGGCACATTCACACACATGCCCGGTGTAAGTTTTAAGCTGCTGGGTTGGGGACTTGAACCACTGTATCAACGATGTGAGAGTCCAGTGACCAGGAATAGGCTGATGTGTAAGGTACAGGCCAAGGACCCAGGGCTGGAGTCTGTTCTATAAATTGTCTACAGGGTCTCAAGGCTTTTACTCTATCTCCTGGTTCCAAGGCTTTTTTTTGGGGGGGTAGAGTTTTTTTTTCTTTTTGCCTCACAATGCATGTGCTTGCTGGAGATGGAAAGAGAGAGAGAGACAGAGACAAAGACAGAGATGACAGAGACAGTGAGAGGGAAAGTGAGAAATCACCCCCTGGGTGGATGACCATACCACAATCCCTTCTCTTCCATTCTCCTCCTGAGATCGCGGGCACACATACACATGTGCCCAGTGTGAGTATCAAGTCCCAGGTTTGGGACTTGAACCATGGTCAGCCATGTGGGAGTCCAGCGACATAACCGCTACGCCATCTGCTGGCCCTCTGTAAGGCTTTTCATCTCTGTGCAATCGAGTGCTGATCAGGATGTAGAGGTGAACTTGGGTAAAGGTGTGGATTCAAGCTGAAACGGAACTGTTGCCCGCAGCCATGGCCTATGCTTCCCTCTCCTCTCCGAGGGGCATTTCAGGGCAGCTGGTCATGACTTCTGCTATGGCAGAGCTGTTGAGCTCTCCACGGTGCAGGAGATGGCCACGGGTAACTGCGACTTTGCTCTTTTTATCCCTGATATTCAGTGGGAGTTTGTTTCTTATTTTTCTGGCTAGTTAGTCATTCATGCCACTGGTGGAGTGGCTGCTGGACTTGCTGATACAATGTCACATGCCATCAGGCCGTGGGAGGCTTTCTGCCCAGTCTGTACTGTACGTCTTGTGGGCACAACAAAGGTCAGAGGTCGCTATCTCAAATCGCCGTGGTTTGGCTTCCAGGGAACCTGGAGCACTTGTTGCCTGTTCTCCAGCCGGCCGTGCCCTCTCCCCACACCCTACATACTCTGTCCTCTGTTCCTGTCCCTCCAGGAGGGGAGGACAGGTTCTCCTCTGATTTACAGGGGACATGAGGGCATGCCCTGCAGACAGTTTAAAGAGCCGACTGACTGAAGCTTAGGTATCTCTGCCCGTGCCGTGCACACCAGCCATTGCTGGTCTGACTCTTGTTCTTATTCTACTGTAGAGAGAAACCTTTAGGGACCAGCAGATGGTGTAGTAGTTACATTGCTGGACTCCCACATAGCCAACTGTGGCTTGGGTCCTGGAACTGGTGGCTTGAAAATCATGCTGGGCGCATGTACATATGTGTGCCCAAGATCCTGGGAGAAGAATGGAGGATGAAGGAGAAGGGATTGCCCAGGGCCATCACGGAGGGGGAGCAGGATGATTTCTCACTTTCCCTCTCACTGTATCTGTATTTCCCCTCTTTCTCCCCAACCAGTGCATGTGCCCTAAGGCAAAGGCAAAATAAAAAAGAAGAGAAAACTTAAGCCTGGAGGACTTGGAGTCCTCTGTTTAACAATAACTGGGTGTCAAAGCCCACCTGTTGGTTGCCCCATGAGTCCTGTCCTCCCACAGGTCAGGATTTTGCTCTTGCAATGGGCAGGAAGGGCAGGATGGCTGGTAATAATAGGAGCTGCTTCAGGAGTGAGAGACCGGCCTGACCTTGCCTCAAGAATCCTCCTCGGCAGTGTACGATCTTGTACAGTCACCTTTTCATAAAAGTTTCTAGAGGGTTTTGGGACACTCGGCAGAAAGAGTTTTTCTGAGTTGAGGGGCTGTGGATTAGAAATAAATGTAAAAATAAACACACAATATAGAAATATAGAAAAGCGAGCATCGGGTGGGTCCAACTTCTCTGATGGAGAGAGCCGTGACCTTGCACTAGCCTCAGGTTTTATTTTATAGGGCAGAAAATGGTGGAAGAGGAAATAGAATGCAAACCATGTTTACAGATGTTAATCAGCTGATGCGAAAACAACGGACACCATTTGGTTTCTTTTGATCTTTTGGGGCAAAATTTTATTTTTTTTAATATTTATTATTTTTTTTTTAATTTATTTTTAAATTTTCATTCATTCACTGCACATCATTACAACATACAAAATGAGATTTTCCAT